TGTATAATTACCTGAAAATATGAAAAATATTTTTTTTTTTACCTCAGAAGGAGACGGTTTTATTTACAGAGGGAGCGGGTCCTCTTCTACAGAGGCCGCCGTGAACTGTTTCTACAGTAGCCCAGAATGGACAAACCTAACACTGGCTCTAGGGCCATTCGCGTTTTTCGCAGTCACTGCAGTTTTTTGAGGTGAGTTGCAATCTGCAACTTCACGTGTAAATGCCAGTAAATCACAGTGGTCCTTTAAGAAAGAGTAAAGAGCAAAATTTAAGTACTTTATATAGATGGCACCTCAGCAGTCTGTTTACAATAGTATAGATTATTATATTTTCAATAGTGTGTTTGGTCAATGTAGAGCCACTTTTAACTACTTTATACACGACTGGCTAGTTTAGTCTACAGCAATGAATGATAATGTTTTATATGAAAAAGTAATCTGCAAAGTAACTATAGCTGTCAAATAAATGTCCTCTGGGAAGCAGAAGTATAAAGTGGCATAGCATGACGATCCTCAAAGTACAAGTACCACAAAAGTGTACTTAAATACAGCACTTGAGTGAATGTACTTCGTTACTCTCCACCACTGTTCATTATGTTTCACAGCTGATGTTTAAATGACCACAGCAGGTGAGACTGTTTCGGATTGAAATACGCTTAACGTAAAACAATGAAGCAAGCAAATTCATTTTATTGAGCTTGTTTCTATCTTTTATGTTCTTGGCTTAAACAACGCTCATTTCCTTCAGTGTTCCTCACGCTGGATGGTTTGGCACATGGGGAGAGGGGCAGCACTCTCTCTCTCTCTCGCTGGCTGTTTCAAATAAGAGGAAGACGTAATCCGTTTTGAAATAATAGCCACACTGTATCAATTCGTGTGAGGCCACCCACTTGGCAAACTGGCCTGTACTGCAGGGTGGGCTGAGGAAACTGTGGGAAGTCTCATTAATGAACAATTCTTCCCTGTACCTCTCCGTGTAGATTAATCTGATATGTGCTCCCCCTCTCAAACTGTTACACTGTTTTATAGACATTGCAGTAGGGGAAAGCGGAGGTTTTACTTGTACCTAAAAAGAACCAGGAAACAAATGAGATATTTCACACTGAATTTAATACAGACCAAAACCTGATGCATGCACACACAAAAATCTATTTTTTTTCTTCTGAAAGAAAACAGCAATACTAAACAAATCAGTCCACCAATCAAACAGGCAACATCCCAAATAAACAACGAGAAAAAAAAAAACAACACCCCAGAGGAACCACAATTAGAAATGTTGACAAAGACAACTAAATAAATAACTTAATTTAACAAAATGTGTATCTACAGATCTTGGCAGACAGTCTTGCTGTCAAGGTCAAGAGAAGGAAATGTTTTTGCAGTTAATAACAGTGAACGCAGCACTGAGCCCAGGTTGCTGTTTTTGGTTCTGTACAGAAATAACTTTGTACTGCAGCCATCTGGCACTGCTGACCATTATACACAAGCAACAGTAAAGCTATTTAGATGAAAACTGTCAACAATTATGACTTAACTTTCCACTGAATGTGTCTATTTTCTTATAGTAGCCCTTCAGTATGAAATTGATTTACAATTCTCAGCTCTGCTACAAACTGCCTGTGCTTCATCAATATATCCAGAAAGAAACCCATCAACTGTATAACTTCTGTCACTTTTGCCACATCCAGGTTTAGCAGGTAGCACAAATACAGTCCGTGCAGTTGCAGGTGCAGATTGTTTTCAGACATTGTCCTCCAAGAGTTTTCCAAGATTTCACCGTCTTAGGTTTTTTTGGTTTTCCCTGGTGTGGAGAGGATCGAGGGGATTAGTGCTGCTGCCTGAGGGACAACATTGTAGCAGTGACACTAATCTAAATACTCAGAGTCAAGTAAGATGTAAGAAGCTGGTGCTGCTCCTCCATGTTTGCATTCACGTCTGCTGTGAATTGTAGATAGAAGACCTGCAGGAGCAGAGAGTGTATTCTTGAACTGTTGAGAGCAAGTGTGTGTGTGTGAAGAGCTTCTCCTCATGTGGACATAAAAACCTTTGCTTTGTGTATGTTGCCTAGGTGGTGTGTTTCCGCTGAGCTGAGGTCAGCCTCACAAAGTTTCCACACTTGAGGCAGCATGAGTTGGAGTTGCCCTCTTTCCTAGGGATATGCCAGCAGTTGACACAGCGCACTCTGTACTTCTTATACCTTCAAAAGTCAAGAGAGAAAAAAAAAAATACAGTGGTGATTGGTCTTTCTTTTTAACGTTCAGGTATTCTTATGAATGCTGTTTTTATTCTGAACTAAGAAATAGTAGAAATAGCATTTATCTATGACATGTATATTAAAATTTCCCAGTTTAGGGTCACTGCAACACTGATACAGCATTATTCCTCTTCTCAGAAGCAAGATGGTGTTTATTTCTGCAGTCTTCTGTGAGTACAGACTATGAATATTCTATATTTTCTTTAGCATACCTCTTCAGAGGTATACTAAAGAAAATATCACATCACAACAGAAGAAACTGTAGAGAAGTAAAACATGTTTGACTTTCAGCTTTCCACTAATAAAAAGCAATGGTGACAATGAACCAACAGCAGAGCTGTTGAAGTGTTACGCTTTAAACCCTTAATCCATTTCGGCATTTGTGGCTGCCCATGAGTCTGTACTTAGCAATTTTATAGAGTTGGTTCTAATCCATATAATTGTCCTTACTGGTGGCTATTGACAGGCAAAATAAACTTCTGAAAAACATGAGAGGAAAACCAAACGCCATCTGGAAAAAGTTATATACTGTCAAATGCAGTCCAATTCTGTATGTATTATAGGAATTACACTTTTGATCTAGTTTTACACAAAACATAATTTGCTTGTAACAATTTGAAATAACTTTAAAAAATCCTTGACCATGTGCATAATAAATCTTCAGATTAAAACTAAATAAACACAGCTGTATTTGAAAACCTGGGAATGACAAAAGGCTGTCAAGTGTTGAAGAAATTAGAAACTTTGTGAAAAAACCCCAAAGGCCAAAGGCGCTGTCTACAGCCAGAGTTTGGTTTGTCTGTTCTGGGCTACTGTAGAAACATGACAATTCAACATGATGGACTCCACTGAAGGCGACCTGCAGCGTCTGTACATAAAACGAGTCATTCTAAGGTATCGAAAACACATTTCATATATTCAGATGATTTTACACTAATGAAAATAAACCTATGAATATTATATTCCATTCCTGCCAACAGAGCCTCTTTAATGTTTCACACTGGACCTTCAGGATTAAATTTCATTACATTTAAAAGTAGCATTAGGCTCCCATGTTGATCTAATAGATCAGGCCTTTAACACAGCTTCATGTTGTGTTAATGTGAGCTACCTTATTCCACAAGCATTACAGAGTGGGGTCCCGTCCTCTGCATCCCTCCACATGGGGGTCTTCCTGGTGCAGCATGATGCACAGACTTTACCCTCTTGTGAATCAGAAAGAAACACACTTTTAGTTCCTGTCATTTTAAAACAAGCAACATTTTATATCTAGTACATATGATTCAATGGACTCTACATTTCAGTGATAAGATTAATACTACTGTATGACCTCTTAAAAGTTCTGGATTTTAATGACAACAACAAAAAAAGACTAAAAACAAAAACAACAAGGGGAGATTTTATTTATTATTTATTTACTATATATTCTTATGTATACTTTGCATTTTCCTGTTAATAACTTACAGAACACAACATGGCTGTATATCTTCACTTTACATTTCATTGAGAAGTTTTGTTAAAATGTGAGGAGAGATGCTAATCAGTGCTATTCATTTGAAAATACTTGAAAGAAATGTTGTTGCTGCTGCCAGTGGAAACGAGTCAAACCTCGGCTGTACAGCCGAAAGTAAGAATTACACAATAAAATGTTACATGTTGAGTTTTTTATTATATATGGATCTTAGGGTGTTTACACAGACGTTTATGTAAATACTATCAAATGTACACCACCTGTCCTGAGTCAGGCTGTCATGCTTTAATGTGGTGGGGGCGTCCTCTAGTGGAGAAAATGGGCATTTCATGCAAAGACATACTTGACTTAGCTATAGAGTAATGCTTAACACATAACATGGCAGCATTTTTATTTGAACTTGTATCTGAAACTGCTTAAATTATTACAGTTGTATAGTTTATATTATGTTTTTTATTTATTCTTCCTGAGGTGTGTCCTTTTATTTCTCTTATTAACGTTGTATTGTGTGGGCTGAGACAAACTCGTGATTTTGGCCCCTATACTGTCAATAAAATTGACTTGACTTAATGAGATCATCAGTTTAACTTGCAGGGACTCCACACTGCTGTAAAAATGTCCATATAAACTGAAATCAGCTTCACTGAACAGCGCAGGTACTCGAGTGTTACCTACTGGAAACATTGGTCGTCAGGTCACTCTCCTCATCCGAGCTGCTAGCTTTAAGGGATTTCTGGGATGTCCGACTCCTCAGCCTCGGTTTTCTTACACTCTTGCAGAGCTCCTTGCTGCGACGGATACACAAGCGGCACACACCAATAATATGTATGAGTTTAACTTATGAACACCGTTTTCTAAATTCACAAGCAGAAAAACTAATGAATCTGTCACTACCTGTACTTCGAAGTTATGAGGAGCCGACACTGTTCCCTACTGTCGTCCAGCTCCGTGTCCATCCTGAACGTCACTCCCTGGAAGTCTGGGTCTTGGATATCGACGCTCCGGCTGGGATGAGGTTGTTTTCTAGGAGTCTTGGTTCTCCACTGCTGGCTAGTTGGAGGAGGAATTTCCTCCTTTAGCCCTGCCCTAAGTTCTGGTTGTGATAATGCTGAAGGTGAGGGGTTGGTTTCTCCATTACAGCCTGAGGAGTTGAGTCGCGCAGCGGGAGGCGATTTCCCCTCGATGGGAGCCTCCGTACATTCTGGTTCAGACGCTGTGATTTTGTGATTTTGCTTTGAGAGTGAGTGACAGCTCCCTGCAGCGCAAAATAAGAGCGATGCTGACTGTGAGGAAGGCCGGACGGAGCTCGGGTGGGGCAGCTGGGTGTCACGTGGGGACTCTGTCAGGTTTCCATTGTGATCTAGCGTTAGCGCTGGCTTTGACAGATTTGCATCGTCATCTGAATCAACCCCATTATTAAGGGAAGGATCGGGGATGTGGGTTCGTGACAAAGCGTTTTCAGAGAGGGGCACATTTAAAATACCCTTCTTACACTCCTGGTTCCACTCAAGCTGTCTGTGAACGCTGAACTTGTCCTCCCCTTTGTCTGCGTGGTGATGTTGAGGAGGTGCTGTAGTGTGTTCCTCCACCAGCTCTGCTCTGACAGCGTCTGTCTTTTCAGCTGTCTGCGGCAGAACACAACGGCCCACTTTGGAGTTTTTCACACAGCGTTTAGAACTACAGGCTCCTCCACTGCAGTCTCTCACACCGACCACAGGACTCACACAGTTTGGGATTCCCTGTCTTTCATAGATACGAAGAGACGGTCTCAGAGTGCATTCGACACTTACGCAGTCACCTCCAAAACCCTGGTCCGTTATGTCTGCTCTTTCCGTCGGTGCTTTGTACACTGAATGGCCTAATAATGGCTCCTCTACATCACTGTGATGGAGGAGCCTCTCACACTGCAGGTTGATCAGACTCAGCACTTTCCAGGGGCTGGCGCTTTCACAATGTGGCTCAACCGAAGTTGTGCCCTTGCTGCTGTGACTGTCCTCCTTCAGCGTTTTCACCTGATTATAAGGCAACGTGCGAGACAAACTCTGCTGGCAGGAACTACTAGAGACTTGAAATGAATGTGCATCCCCTTCCTCTTTTTTAACTATGAAAGCATCTTGCCGAGAAGTGTCGTTTAGCCACAGGGAGGGAGTATTTGTGTCCAGGAAACTGTTGTGGATGGGGGAGGCTAGCTTGGAAACTTCTTGGCAAAGGTAAAAGAGTGCTGAGCGGGAGGGATCGTGTTCTGTTGTGCTCTGGTTTCCCTGGATGAAGGTAGCTTGTGTCCTCGGTCCTGTGCTCATCTTGAGGCAACGTCTGCGTCACACATACGAAACAAACAGCTTTTAGATCAGCAGTTCTCATCCTGGGGGTCGGCCGCCTCAAGGGGTTGATTACCGAAGTAGGAAGTAATAAAGTCAAACTGTGTGTTTATTTTTAGACATTTCTCTAGATCTTCCAAATAAAACAGTCTGATGGCTCTTCAGCTGAACTGCTCACAACTCATAGACATCGACTGATAGTGGAAAATAAATATTGCTTTAAGCTAAAAAGGTTGGGAACCACTATTCTACAGGCTGAATGGGATTTTGAACAATTGTCCAACATAGAATATTACACAATCTGATTCATATTTATATCCATAGCTCCTATAATTGAGATACATAAGCTACTGTATGTAGATAGCACAGTGACAGCAGATAAGCTTGGTCTACTGCAGTGTTTAACATTTTTGTTTCCAAACTGTATACAACAGTGACAGTGATGTTAGGCTAAAAGAAAATGAACTTTAGGACAGTTTATTAAAATGTTTAACTAGGCCGACATTGTATTAGCCTACAAGAGCTAATGAGACTCAGCCTATTTAAATGCCTTATATGGTCGCGGTGTCATTTTCCTTGAAAAACATAATTTATATGACATGAAACCGCCTATTTTAAGAAAAACGACTTAATTAAATTGTAACTTATTTAACTCACCGGAAGAAATGTAACAAGAAGTCGAACTAACAATGCAGTTTAAATGGGTTCCAGAACACAAATGTAGCATTTGCGTTGTAGATTTTTTCGCGGTTGTCTGAGTTTGACTGTCACGAGCGCAGAGGCAAGTCGCATGGATACTGACACAATATTAATACTCAATCAATACAATCACTCCAGCTGTGCTGGAGGTTGTATTCTTCCACCTTTATTCTCCTCTATATTGTATAAGTTGACTATGACTTCACTCATAAATGGAATGATGGGCAGTTCAATGGCCTATATAGACCTACGGAAACCGGTGTACGTTTGTAGCTACTGGTTTGATCTAATGTTTTAACTCTATGGGCATTATGACGCATACGGTTCGCGTCCTTGTAGTTTTATGTAGATCTACCTGAGCTCGCTTTAGTCCGCATGCAAGTTAAATGATCGCATATGATCTGATCCATTAACTGTGATCTTACAAAGGGCCCTGTATTCACACACCTTTGACCTGTCATGGCCTCTATGGCTAACTGCATCATTTGGGCCTGAACAAAACAACTACAAATTTGATTTTAAAAAAATTAATATATAGGCCACAGTCCACCTTTGTTTACCTGATGCTCACCTTTGATCTCCAAGTCGATCATCAGCTAACTGATGAAGTGTGCCAATTTACTGGGAACTCAGACCGATGGAGCTGGTTGCTATGACTGGGTGCTGTTGTGGACCAGGAGGAGGAGTTGCGCGGGTGTTTTTGGTTTGCTAGATTACAGCAGTGGTGAATAAAAGTGCTGCCCACTGTGTTCCAGTGCCACTTGGTAGCTGCTGCAAACCGCTTTTTGCGACAACTCAAATGCACGTTTACATGTTTGCTAGGTAAAGGTGTCGATTTTTAGCAACAATGGCCGCCTGCTAATCATGCAATGAACTATTGGTTATTGAAGTTTGGATAAAACGAAGGCAACTTCATTTTGTCCCCTTTCAGTCCTTATGCTTAGTGTTTAAAGCTGATGAGTAATGAGCAGTGTTCAAAAAATGACTTTTTAAAACTTGTTTTATTGCACAACTTTAAATATTTGTAGTTTCTAAGACATACATAATTCACTTACATTTGTGCGTAAATTGGACAAGTACAGTAGCTAGACTTGACAAGTAAAGGGTAGATGTGGTGAACTCCTTCCATGGTAACATGAAGCCTGACTCTGCTGTCTACCTCCATCATGCTAAGCACCTGAACCAGATCAACTAATCAAACCTTGCATTTTCTATCTGACGCTTGAAACACAACTCACCTGAATGTTTTGAAATGTTTATACTGAATACAATGCAAGAATTTAGACTGGTGAAACTGAGTTGTTGTTATTATCTATTTATCATATTTAGAAGCCCATCCTTTAAGCTTCAGGCAAATGTTGTCTTTCAAAAACACTTGTATTATATGGCTTCTTCTTCTTCTGTGTCTGGCCTCAGTTCCATGCAGAGGAACACTATTTGAGGTTTGTGACTTCAGTCTAACTACAGACAGTGCGTAGGTACTTACTGATAAGCCAGCACAACACCTACAAATTAACTTGGTAAATAAAAATGAAAGGAAATGTCATGCATGCCCTATCTGACAAGTGAATCAGGGTGGCAATGATAGACTGGCAAAAATGACTCAACTTGTGATACTTGTGCGTATATGAGCTGTAACAAGGAATGTTCCATTAAACTGCACAAAGGTGAACTTTGTTAAAAATTTGCTCTGCAATGTATAAAACAAACAAATTGTCTGGTGTTTTAACAAAGAACAGTTTGTGAGATTGAATGGTGTCGTAATGCTGGCCTGAGAATGTTCCACACAAATAAATACATTGTCAGTTCAGTTGTTTTTTTTTTGGGAAGTAACCATTAATTTCACCTCCAGTGAAATTTGTATAGTGTCTGACTGCCTGATTTCATCTGCAGGCCTGTCTTGTCATTGGTTAACTGTGGAATTTGTCAGTCGGCAAGACATCTTGGGAGTTGCTACGGACTTTGCTATCCTAGCCGTGCATCTCTTCATCATCGCCCCCCCCCTCTCACTCAAGGGGCAGCGCAGAGACACCCTCTCATTTTCCTCCAATCCACCTCTTCATTATCTGCACCTCTTCTCAATGAGGTTTGGGCACATGCCCGTCCACGTAGAAGTTCCTGGTGACTTTGGGCAAGGTTAACTCAATGCCGTCCAGCTCTGGAGTGAGAACGATCTGGCATCCCAGTCGGGAATTCTCCTGAAGCATGGGCGCCATGTCCAGCATGTCGTCCTCCCTAAAGCACCAAGATATGTGTCAACATTTACAGTGATCTCTCTTTCATCCTCATCGCACACATTTGACGTCATTTGAATGTCGTTAAGAAAAATATCATTTGTAGCAGACCTACCTCTCCTCAGGTTCTGGTAGTTTGTTGAAATGGGCGTCACTCACGTACACCTGACATGTTGAGCAAGCCAGTGATGCTTCACAGGCTCCTAAATGAAAGACAAATAATGATCAATAATCATCTTAAAACCATGCTTTAGTAAACTGCTTTACTAACTGTGTAAATGCTCACCTTCCAGGTCAATTCCATGCTTGTGAGCCAGATAGAGGACATTATCTCCCACTTTGGCCTTAATTGGGATCCTCTGGCCAGACCGATCTATATACACCACATTCACCCTAAACACCAGATAGTTCAAAGTTAATTTAGCTTTATCAACAATCATATATTTGAGTGTATCTGGCAAGGTTTTGAAAAATCTTAATTCACCATTCTGCCCTTTTTAGTGCCTAAAAAATAAAGGCAGTTAAAGCAACAGCATGTTCCAAGTTGAGGGAAGTGCTTGAGTTGGAACAATATACGGACGAAAACGTTTCAGATCACACAAGAAGAAATTCCTACAAACCAATCACTTCACGAGACTTAAGATGCAAAAAATATATACACTATACACTACATAGTGTTAAAATGTGGGATAAAAGTCAGAGTCATAGGACATAGTGGTTCTATGACACCGACTGTGACTGTTTACCTTAGCTATACACAGCCTCCATCGAGTTTCTGTCCAACTAACGCTACCCATTGGTCATTTTCCAACAAATTTAGACACACGTGGTGTTTTTTTGTAAGTGCCGATACGGTTTCCTGCTCTAACCCGGTGTGAGGAGGCAAAAATGTGCAGTTTTTGTAGTCATGTGTGGTGTGTGTCCATAAATCATCTGTTACAGAGCCCAATGGGTATCGATTATTCTGATATCATGTGCACATGTATTTACTATAAGTAATTTTGTAAATAGACTGTTCTTACACAGCACTTTTCATCCTTAGTAAGATTAAGAGCTTTAAAACCTCTCCCACTATCTGTGTATAGGAGGATTCAAACCATAATTAATGGAGGACCAAGCCACAAATGTTCTACTAAAATGTCTTACTTTTTATTTAATTAATGTACACCATCAAATTAATCATTTTTGTAGACAATTTTTCGCTCAAATGCTGCATACGCATACTATGTAGGCTGCTGGTTAAGAGTACTATTTAAGTTAAGTCCATGTTCAGGATGTGATCAGAGTGCAAAAATATATAAATAAATAAAGTTCAGCATGACTTGGCAAAAAAAAAAAAATGGAGCTATCTTTCCCTAAAGATTAGTCCCCTCCACTGACCTGGACTAGTCGTAGCTGCTGTAGTAGTAGTACAGTAAGTACAATGTGTGCATTGACTAATACCCACTGAAAACACCTCATCAACTCACAATAAAAGCCCCAAGTGAACTTACACATCGTCTGGGTCCTCTGCATTGGAGCTCCCCTCCTCACTTTGGTAAAGACCTTTAGAAAAGAGGCAGGAACAACAGGAGTGTGAATGTTTCTGCAGTCAGTGGCCGTACGAGCACCTCCAGACCACGAGGACAATGTTTGACTTGTTGCCCAAAGTTTCATAATCTGGGAATGTTGAAGTGAAGTTACACAAGTGTTACTGAGCGGGCTCTCGACTCCAATAGGGTCTGATATCTCTGGACCACCTGTAAGTCAAGCTTTGCTGGCATCAACAATAACATAACTATGCACTCTGGATAAATACAACTCATTACCGCGTATCGTAAACAAACAGTCCCGAGAGAAGACCCTGCTCTGACTGAGGCTAAAGCTGTTAGCAAGCTGCCCCACTCACCTATACTCGTCTGCAAGTGTCGATTTATCGTCCGGAAGCTGTCAAAGGACCCCCCCCTCTGCACATTAGCCACGCTGCTCACACAGCTCTTGAGCCTGTTGAGAGGACATGTGCTACAGTCCGGTAGAACTCGAGAAAGTCTGAAAGTCAGACCCATGCTC